AACAAAAAAAAAAAAAGAATAATAATAAATTGTAGTAGTACTACAATCTTTCCTCGATTAATCCAATTACTTTTTGCACTATAAATTAGAGTAGTAATTTGTACTCCATTTTATACTATTTTAAAATGATGAAAAACATGAAATTGAGCATCAAAGCCTCATAATTCTACCTTTGTGAGAATGACATTGGCCCAACATTTAAGTGTGCTGAGATTTTAAAGCAATATTATAATTGGGTATCTTTTACTTGGTTTATTGAATAATCAAGCTGGTCTTAGTATTAGAGTATACAATAATGCTCCCCAACTTACGGTAGGCACATGTTACTATGTCAGTTGCTTATGTGGCATGACACATTGATGATGTACTTTTTAAATATATTAACAACACCAATATGTGAATGTCACATAAACGGTGGACATATTAATATGTGTCTACCGTGGTTAGAAGAACATTACTGTTATAGTATATGCACCCTATGCCCTTGCATCCATCAAAGGGAATAAAGTAGTTAGACTTTTGATTAAGTGAAAAGGATAATGGAAAGTTGGAGGAAAGAAAATATAAATGGGCCTTTTTGGAGGTTGATGAGAAGATTCATAAGTACTTTTAACACATTAATTTATTTAATGTTTATCTAATTAATTCTTTTTTTACAGTTTTGTTATAGAGCAATCGGATGGCTTAGCTTGTGGAGCAATCCACACATATTCACCAATAGTTTATTGACACGTGTCCTACAATAAATACAATTTGGACATCTGTCAATATATTAAACGATGGATGACTCCATAAGAAAACAATCTGATTGCTCCAAAGAAGAATTTTTTTTTTTATTCTTATTCTCCTACCTTATGTTCATTTCTTGTTCTTAGGGTTTTTCTCTGGATCAATCACTGGTTCAACCATTAAATAATGATTAGATAACGCAAAAAAAAAAAAAAAAAGTTACATTTACTATTTTGTTCTCATAAATAGTTGCAAAATTAAATAGATTTATATACAAAATAAAAATTATTGAGTTGTATTCAGATCGATCGGGTCAATAATATGCAGAATGTAATGACGGGCGAAATTGCCAAACTATATACTTGATTTATTTTGGTATAGACAATGCTGCAAATCGACCCGTCTAATCATTTAGACGGTTCATCTCGCACAATACCATTTTTTTTTTCTCTAAAATTTACACATTCATAATTTGAAATGGATTATTGAATTTGACTTTTAAGTTCTCTTATTTATGTGAATAGTTCAATTTTCACTTTTGTTATTAGGGAATGAATATTCGGTCTTTTCTTTTTCACCCTCCCTTCACGCCGTCCATGTTCTCTCTTAAAATCTACTTACTTTCCTCACATGGTAGTTTCCACACGCGCGAGCATGCCGCGTGGAGTGTTTAGCAACTAATCACTCGTGTTTGCATTTCTAAACCAATTTTCAACTTTTTCGCACGCAGTTGATGCGAAAGGGCATCGGCTCAAAATCTCCTTTTTCACACTTGACTTGTTCTTCTCCCCTTTTTTTTCCAAACCTTTTTATTTTATTTTACTTTATTTAGATGCCTTTTTTCGTGCATTAAAAAAAGGTGACACACTTTAATATAAATAAAAAAATAAAGTAATAATCATGCAATTTCTTTTCCTTTTTTTCCATTATTTTGTCCTTCTTTACAGAGTGCATAAAAAGGTTGCCTATCTTGCCAGGAATTGTCATCTACCACAATAAATCACAATTTGTTTTCCTTTTGCTTTTTATTACTACACTAGTATGTATATAACCCGTGCGATGCACGGGTTGTATTTATTTTTGGGAAATATTAAATTTAAAATGTATTAATAAATAAAAGAGTGATAATTCATAGAAAAATTGTCAAATAATAAAATGTTCCTCATGAAAAAAATATA